CATCTCCCTCCGAAGTCCTAGGCAGACACTCACCTCCTATCCACGTCTACAAATGTGCCTCTTTTGGGCATTTCATGTAAATGGAATCATATCATAAGTGGTCTTTCCTGACAGGCTTTTTCCCCTAGCATAATATTTTCAAGAGCCATCCATGTTGTCCCCAATAGCGATGTTTCTTTTTATTGTCAAATACTATTCCATTGTTTGGATATGTCGCATTTTATAAATACAGTCATTGGTTGATGGGCGTGTGGATCGTTTCCACTCTTTTTGGCTATTAGGAATACTGCTGTTAAGTTTTGTGTTGGAGTCACCATGTGGACGTTTTCATTTCCCTTGTGTATATACCTGGGAGTGGAATTGGTGAGTGATTTGATCATTCTGTGTTTAACTTTTTGAGTAGCTGCCGAACTCTTTCCCAAAGTGGCCGCACCACTTTACATTCCTGCTGGCAGTGAATGGGGGTTTCCGTCACTCCAGGTTCTCTCCAGCTCACTGTTTCTTGTTATTGTCGTCCTAGTGGGTACGGTGTCGGATGTCCTTGTGGTTTTGGTTTGCACTTCTCTAATGACTGATATATCGTTAGCATCTTTTCATTTGCCTGTTGGTCATTCATGTATCTTCTTTGCCAATTTTTAAATTGGATTGTCATTTTCTTGTTGAGCTGCAAGCTTTCTCCATATACTCGGGATGCACTTCCTTTATCAGGTAAATGATTTGCCCATTTTCTCACAGTGTGTGAGTTGGCTTTTCACTCTTGTGATGGTATCTTTTGAAACCCGGGTTTTCAGTTTGTATGTAATCTGCTTCATCTGTTTTTTCCTTTGTCACTTGTGCTTTTGCTGTCATGTCTAAGAAACCAGTGCCTAATTCAAGGTCACAAAGATTCGCCCCTCTGTTTTCTTCCAAGAGCCTTCTAGTGTTAGCTCTGATGTTTCCATCTGTGATCCATTTTTGAGTCAGTTTTTGGTACAGTCTGAGATAGGAGCACAGCTTCATTCTTTTGCATATGGATATCCAGTTGTCCTAACACTGTTTGTTGGAAAGGCTATTCTTTCCCCTCATGAATATTCTTGGCACCTTTATTTTTTAAAAAATCGTGTTCTATACTCTCAACTGTATTCCATTGTTAGAAATGACTGTCCTTATGCCATCACCTTGATGTCCTGATTGCTATAGCTAGCTAGAAAGTTTTGAAATCTGAAAATCTGAGTTCTTCAACTTCTTTGGAAATACTGTTTTGACTATTCTGGGTCTGTTGCATTTTCATCTGAATTTTAGGATCAACTTGTCATTTTTGGCGAAAAAAAAAAAGCTGGGATTTTTGATAGGGATTATATTGAATCTGTAGACCAATTTATGAAGTTGTCACATTTTTACAATCTTGTCTGATCCAGGAATATAGAGTATCTTTCCATTTCTTTAGGAATTTGTTAATACCTTTCAACAGTGTGTTGTAGTCTTCAGCATATAAGCCCTACAGGTCTTTTTTTTAATATATTCCTAAGTGTTTGCTTCTTTTTGATGCTACTTAAATTGAATTGTTTTTCAAATTTCATTTTCCAACTGTTAATTCCTAACATATAGAAATGCAGTTGATTTTTATGTATTGACCTTGTATCCCTCAATCTTACCGAACCTAATAGATTTTTTAATGGATTCCTTAGGATTTTCTGTATATAAGGTTTTAGCATCTGCGCATAGAGATAACTTCACTTTCTCCTTCCAATCTGTATGCCTCTTTTCCTTGCCTTGCCTCATTGCCCTGGAGAGAACTTCCAGGACAGTGCTGAATGGGGTAGCAGGACATCGTTGTCTTGTTTCTGTTCTTATGGGACAAGCATTTAGTATTTCACCATGAAGTATGCTGTTAGCGTTGGGGTTTTGTAGATGCCCTTTATCGGGTTGAGCATGTTCCCTCCTATTCCTAGGTTGTTGAGTATTTTTATCAGGAAGGACTGTTGAATTTTCAAATGCCTTTCCCGCACCTCGAGTTGTGAATTTTGCCCCTTATTAACATGGAGGATTACACTGATTGATCGATGGATCGATCTTTCTTTCTTTTTTTATTTTCTGAGGGAGTCTCACTTTGTTGCCCAGGCTGGAGTGAAGCTGCATGATCTTGGATCACTCCAACCTTTACCCGCCTGGGTTTAAGCGATTCTCATGGCTCAGCCTCCTGAGCAGCTGGAATTACAGGGATGCACCACCGTGCCCAGCTAATTTTTGTTTTTTCTTTCTTTATTATTTTTATTATTATTATTATTTTTTTTTAGTAGAGACAGGGTTTCACCATGTTGGCCAGGCTGGTCTTGAACTCCTGGCCTCAAGTGATCCGCCCATCCTGGCCTCCCAAAGTGTTGGGATTACAGGGGTGAGCCTCTGCCCACGGGCTGATTTTTCCTTATGTTAAGCCAGCCTTGAGTCCTGGCATAAATCATATTTGAACACAGTGTAGAAAGAACCCTTTTATATGTGGCTGGATTGGCTTGCTAGTATTTTGTAGAGGGGTTTTCTGTGCATATTTATACCTGATATAGAATTGTTTCTAATAAAGAGAGTTTTGAAACAAATGTCCATTAATAGGAGAGCAGTTATACAGACTTCATAGCAATTTAAGCAAAAAAAATTAAATAGAGCTATACATGATAACATATATGATTTCTGAGACATGTTTTTAAAAATAATAAATGTGGTATAATACTGAATTACTCCTAACATAGAATTGAGGAAAATGTAAATATGAAAATACTGTGTGCTTATTTGTGTAGCATTAAAATTCTACAGTGAGAATATATACTCACGTGTATTTGTGTAAATTGGAAAATATGAATTGTTGGCCAGGCACGGTGGCTCACACCTGTAATCCCAGCACTTGGGGAGGCCAAGGCAGGCAAATCACGAGATCAGGAGTTTGAGATGGTGAAACCCTGTCTCTACTAAAAATTCAAAAATTAGCCGGGCGTGGTAGTGCGTGCCTGTAATCCCAGCTGTTCAGGAGGCTGAGGCAGGAGAATTGCTTGAACCCGGGAGGCGGAGGTTGCAGTGAGCCGAGATCACGCCGCTGCGCTCCGCGAGCCTCCGTCTCAAAAAATATATATAAATTGTTTTTTAAAAGAAAAATGACAGTGAACTCACTGATATAAACAGCCTGTATCCTGGCAAATTTCACTGTAAACCAAGGGAAGTCCTGTTAGCCTACAGCAGTGTCCTGTGTCTCCCTGCCACACCTACTGCAAGCAGCCAGTGTGATTAGAACTTGTGTCACTTTACAGTTGGAAATAAATCCACCAGCACAGGGATGTATGCGAGTATCCAGCAAAGGAAAAAGATAAAGGGGACAAGGAAAATGAATGACTTTTAAAAAATACTGGCAAAAATGTTACCAAGGGCATGATGAAAATTGTGACCCAGGGTTACTGCCGTAAATTTCAAAAAGTGATCAGCAGTAGCCTTGATAAAATAGGAACTCATAGTCCGGGTGCAGTGGCTCACGCCTGTAACCCCAGCACCAGCACTTTGGGAGGCCGAGGCGGGCGGATCACCTGAGGTCAGGAGTTTGAGACTAGCCTACCCAACAGGGTGAAACCTCGTTTGTATTCAAAATATAAAAATTATTTATTGGCAGTTGCCTCATTAACCAGGCACCAACCAGTCGCCAGCTTCTGCTCTGGGAGCTTCAATCACGTCCTCCCTGAATCTTCACTGCCCACCTGCTATTCTGGCCCCTACTCTGCTTAAAAAACACTCAAGGAGATGGACAGAACCATCCAAGTGTGATAACTGCAGAAGTAATCAAAGACAGTGGGAGCAAGAAACAGGGCACCGTGCGTCAGGCAGTGCTGTAGTTTTGTCATGGGCTAAATTGCTTGGTTTCTGCTCTCATCCCACGGTTATTCAGGGAAAGTTCAGAATACAACAGCGAGCAAAAGAGCCTCCAGCAGATCAATGGGAGCAGGGCCGCTGTTCACTCCTGCTCCGGGGAGGTGCATTCACATAGAATACCAGGCTATATTCATTTGCTGTGGTTTCCTTAACAAAGTGCCATGACAGGGTGGCAGAAGCAGCAGAAACATACTGTCTTTCTGTTCTGGAGGTGAGGAGCCTGAGATCGGGTGTCGGCAGGGTTGCTTCCTTCCGGAGGTCGTGAGGATCTGGTCCATGCCTCTTGCCTAACTTCCAGTGGTTTGCTGGGAGTCTTGGGCATTCCTTGGCTACCTGTTGAAGCATCACTTAATCTCTGCCTTCATGTTCTCGTCACATTCTCCTTGTGTGCATGTCTCTGTCTGAACTTCCCCTCCCCTGCCATCATTGTTCTTCTTTTTTGAGACTGACTCTGTCACCCAGGCTGGAGTACAGAGTGGCGGGATCTCGGCTCACTGCAACCTCCAACTCCCAAGTTCAAGCGATTTTCCTGCCTCAGCCTCCCAAATAGTTGGGACTACAGGCACCCACCACCACACCCAGCTAATTTTTGTATTTTTAGTAGAGACGGGGTTTCACCATGTTGGCCAGGCTAGTCTTGATCTCCTGACCTCATGATCTGCCCATCTCAGCCGCCCAAAGTGCTGGGATTACAGGCGTGAGTCACCGCGCCCGGCCAAACTCCCCCTTTTTATGACGACATCAGTCATACTAGATTAGGCCCACCTACTCCAGGATGACCTCATCCTAATATGTCTGCAGTGGTCACATGCTGATGTTCTGGTTGAGGGGTGGTTAGGACTTCAACATATGAATTTGGGGGAAGGGGCCACTACTCACCTGAAACTCATGCAAATCATGCTCTCTGGAAATCGGGCCGCCGGAAAGTTCTGGCTATAGGAGAGCCTCCTTCTTAGTTGACTCTCTTGATTTCTCAGAGCTGTACCAGCCCTCCATCTCTGAAGCCACTGCAGGGGGCCGGGAGGGCTTGGTAGCTCGATTTTGGCCAGGTCTGCTTCGTGGCCTGTGGTGCGGGGTGGAGGTGTGGTTCACGTCTGTGTTGTTTGTTGCTACAGGTTATATCGAAGCTGCTGTCATTCCCGCTGGAGCTCGGAGGATCCGTGTGGTAGAGGACAAACCTGCCCACAGCTTTCTGGGTAAAACCAAAATGACTTGACTCACCGTTTATGTGTTGAGAATGGATTTTGATGATCAATCTGGTACATTGGTTTAGCATCATTCCACCCGGGTTATGGCTGGTTTCGTGACTGTATTGTAGTGACATGAGCACTCGGGACCGCACAGTGCAGTTGTATTTGACTAACATGAAGCCACCCCCAGGGTGGATTAGGGGCAAGAACAGGGAGGAAAATGATGGAAGACCAGCTTGGGACAGGAAGGAAGATCATAGAAGAGTGAAGGAAATTGTGAGGAACTTGGGCTAGGTTAGTCCCCCGAAGTAACCACAGGAAAGCTCAGAGCGGCTTGAGTCTGAGCAGTGCGGCCCACTGGCCAACTTGCAGGAAGCCTCATTGGGCTGCCAGTAGTTCTGGGGATGACTCTGTGGCCGGGAAAAAGAGCAACAGTGCTTAGTCTCATGGAAACCCAGAAGGACACTAGTTTCACCAAGGTCTGTGTGTCCCGAATTCCTAGCGACCAGCTCCATTGACTTCAAGCACAAACACCTGCATCTCTCCATAGACTTGGGTTCTATTCTGGACTAGTTTTTCTAACTATGGGCAAAGCCATTCAGATAAACTTCCTAGCTAGAGAAGACCTTCCGAGAGTATCCTTGGCCCAATTCCCAGGCTCCCCATCGACCCCAGCAAAAGTCAGCCCAGGACTTGAGCCCCAGGGTGGTTGGAATTCTGAGTTAGACACAGAAGTGGAGACAGCAGGGTGGCCAGAGGCTGCCTCTGCTCCGGGCCCCCTGGCTTGGAACATGCTGTGGCCCCTGCCCTTCTGCCGGCTTTAATCCCATGTTCCTGTCTTGGGTTAAACTTGAACTTGAGGTGGCTGAACTTCTCGGGCGCCCTCTTCCGAGCTGTCTTTATGTTACCGTCTCTCAGCCTGTGTTGCAAAGTGCTGATTGAGATTGAAGAAAGAAAAAGTAAGAGAGGATTTCTCTTGTTTCCAAAATGATTTTAACTAAATTGAAGTTACCCAAGAAACCCTTTTATTTCCATTTTTATCACTGATTTTTAAAAATGATGTCTTTGTCCACATTCCTGCCTTTGCAGGCTATGCAAAAGTCCAAGTCTTTCTTTGAAATGGTCTCTGCTTCAGAAATTCGAAGTCTAATGAGACAGACCCAAAACCAATCTCTAATAGGCAGGTTTACAGTGAAGACCACAATCCTGTTATTTCAGGAGTTAGGGAACCCTTCGATGCTCAGACACCCCTCACACACCTGCCTTGGGGAAGGCAGCAGTGCCCATTTCCAAGCAGCTACGTGGGGTATCACTGGCACCACACTCTGTGGATACCGCCATGTCCCAAGCTGCCCTGCCACCTCCTCTGCAGCTTGGTCACCTGACATCCACCCTCCCTCCTCGAGGCTGTGATGGCCGCTTGTGCTTCTGCTGCAGGGTAAGACCTTGCCATCCCTGGAGTTGACATCCATGTACGTTTTCATCAGCCCAATGGTTTTCCATCTCCCCCGCACGGACAGTGTCCCTGCCTCACGTGACACTCTCCTCCCCAGCTGTCCTAGCTGTCACTCTGCAAATAGAACAACGCTTAAAATGCTTTCTAAAACAAGGGCTCTTGCTGCCTTTGGCAGCTTCAAAGCGACAGCCTGTTTTTACTAAATTCACAAAGACCCCACTCCTCTCCCTCTGCCCATCAGAGGATATTGGGTCAACTTTACCAGCATTTGCATCGGAAGCCCCACCACCTACTATCATGCCAAAAAGTTACCCTTACCCTTCCCAACCCATGCATTCAAATGTACGGAGGCCCTCCGTAGGAGGCTGGCATCACCTTTCATCCTGATTCAAAATTTGCAGTCCGGGTGTTCCAAGAGGTAGTTCAGTTTGGAGGTCGAATTACGGTTCTTTCATCAAGCCTCAGCAGGTGCTCCTGCAAGTGCATCCCCTGGCTTCGGAACCTGGCTGCTGAGATTTCCCAGCTTGGCTTCTCTGCCTGGCTCAGCCCTAAGTGTCTGGCAAGAGGAGGGTCTTCTCAATCTCTGTTTTGCATGGCAATGTAAGAGTGGCAGGAGGATGTTAGAATCCTCTGGATTGCTCCTCAACTTCTGATTCCTGTCGTACAAACAGACCTTTCACTCGAACTCACTTTAGGGCAACAGGTGCTAACTAGCGGATGCCAACCAGGAGAGCGCGCTCTTGTGATTGTGCCCTCAGCTCCTGAAGCCTGAGGGCCATGTGTACAAAACAAGAGCATCCGCGATGGTGGCTCCCAGTCACTGAGCTCCGCTGCACCTTAGAGACCTGATCCCTAATTCCCCCAAATGGGCTGCAAGGGATTGCTCTGCTTCCTTAACAGAGGTACAGACTGGAGGTCCGAGGGGCTTGGCGTCTCGACCACGTTCTCCACCTCCTCTGAGTTCACTGCAGTTGATGCAGCCTCTCAGAATTACGCTGTCCAGTCATGGCCAGAGACTGCTGGATGGAGACGTCTCATTGGAGAACACATGTTAACCCTGCCTGTTGTGACCACTACATTGTGTGCACTTTGAACAAGCCTGCATCCCGTGGAGATTGGTTTAGTGTCTTGGGTGACTTCTCAGCCCTCCAGAAGCACCGGGCCTCCATGGGAGGTTGGACTCGGTTCCCGCCTTATCTCATCCAGAAGGCATCATCCCAGGACTCCAGGGCCTGGCCAATGGACACGGGCAAGCCTGAAGGTGGTCCACACTCATTATGTTTCTAAAGTTAGTTCAAAAAGGCCTTGTTTCCACTTGGGGCTGGGTGCTTTGGAAGTCAACCCAGTGTAACTTTGAATTACTCTCACATTTGCCGGGAGCAATTCCTGAAGAATTTCACCCCACCTACCTTCAGCCCACGCTGGCTGGCTTTCTGCTCAAAACCACCTGGAACAGGAAATGCCTCTGCAGTTTGTATCCATAGCTAAGAACAGACTGGCAGAACTCCTAGTGGAAATAAAAGGAGCTGACTCACTGCCAGGATTAGAAGTAGGTTGACTGTGGGTCAGGTCTTCCAGTGAAGCCAGAAGGGAGAGAGGCCAAGAGAACCCCACCCGACCTTCTGCACAGCTCTGTGCCAGAGAGGGGCATGTGCGCACGGTGAGAACCCGCGTCTGCCTCCGGCCAGCTCTGAAGAGCAGTAGTCTCCTTCCTCAGGAGTGCCCCCACCTTGCTCCCTCGAATGGCTCATGGTCTTCCCCACACTGCCTGGAAGACCAGGATGGCGTGTAAGTGTCCACAGAGAGGAAGAAGGGCCAGAGACAGAAATGGACGTTCCGCATGTAACTCACATTCCAGCTCATTGCAAAGGTTTTGTTCTGCCCTAGTGGTAAAGGAAAGTGTACCCTCCCATGTGGTGCCACACAGAAGTCTAACTCTTGAGAGCTTCTGAGCAAAACCCACAAAAATGAGCATAGTTCTATTTTGGATCATGGTTTAAAACATTTAATCTCTGGCCCAGGCAAAATAAGCAAGGGAAAATCTCCTTCCCAGCAAACCAGAACTTCAGACATCACAGATGAAATCAAATCATTGGGGGAATCCCCTCTTCTTCGCTCTGTTATTTGCCCATAAAATCAAAGCATTTGTAATTGTTTTAATTTCCCCTATTGAGTGTTTTCTGGGTCCAAAAAAATCCTGATTTCAAGTACAAACTAGTCAATCTCAAAATACTTACAGACAAAGGGGACTTGGAGATACTCACTGATGCCCAAGGGTTGAGGGGACAGGAACTTGTAGAACCCAAAACATATTTAATTTGGAAGGTCAGGAAAAAAAAAATACATTATGCACGGGGCTGTGGAAAGGCCTCCTGCACAGAGGTGCCTGGCGCGGGAGCCTCAGAGCGCTTTGCAGACCCTGCTCTGTGCAGCTCACGCAAGGCAGGAGAGCAAGCCAAGCTGTCGCAGAAGGGGGCAGGAGGTGACCTGCATTGTCTCTGCAGTTGGCATGGCCCCATGCAGTCATTGTTCCGGGGACTCCACAATGAACCTGTTTACTCACTGTTAAAAATGATCTTGACATCCTGACAGAATCTCTGAGGCTGAAGTCTCTTTCGAAGGGATGTCAGGCACTCACTCATGATTTTAGCAGGAAGTTCCAATTTTTGAGATGGACCACAGCAAACTGCAGATGGGAAATCTTGCTAAGTGACACCAAAGTGAAAAGGATGGAAGTAACCCCCATGCCTCCTGGATCTGCTGACCTCCTGCTAATAACTCTGCCTGTGTTTTCCTCTCCCTGAGAAATACACAAATGAGCGTGGCTGGGAGCGCACTGTCCGGAGGAAAGGCATGCCGGCTCTAAGCTGGAAAGCTGCCTCTGCAGTGCGCCAGAACTTGCAGCTGCGGCAGCAATGGCCACAGGCAGTGCTTGGGCATGCAAAGCGTATTCCTTCTGGGGCTGTGAGAGCTGACCCCAAACCCACTCCCAGCCTCAACCAAGATGTGATCGTGCAGGAGTTCTCCCATGCATCAGCTCCAGACCAGGACCTCCAAAGCAAAGGCATCTTCAGAATTCGATGGAGTGCCCCCACGGCCCTGTGTGGCTTGTGAGAGCCAGTTCTAGGCATCTCTTCCCCACTCCTTGTTCAGTGATGCCAGGTGGATAACACGGTCTGCCGTATGAGGGTGTTTATACTCTGGGTAGCAAATGCACCGTAAGTCTAGGCTGTTTTCCCCAGGGAGCCGGCTGTCACTAGCACCCTGTTGTCGGGCATGTTCCTCCCCATCAGCAGTTGACCTTGCCTGGGTCCGTCCATCCACCGCAGCCTCACTCAGTTTCCTATCCCATGCTTCCTTGACCACACCCAGCAACTCCTCCGTGGCCTCCGGTAGCCCTCCTCCCCACGTCTCCCCCACCCATCCCGCTACGGACAAGCAAGCCCCCACTCCAGTGATCAGAGGGTGGCAGGCTCCAAGGCCCAGCTGACTCTGCCCCCATCTTGTGCTGGAGTTGCTGCTGCTGCTGCCCCCCGCCCACCGTCGGGCCTCCCGAGGCAGAGGTAGGTCTTCCCCGGGCCCGCCCCCACCTCTTTGCAGTGTTTCTGACAATGGTCTTAGAACCGTCTCCACGTTGCCCTCCTGCCCTTTTTTGGGCCTTTCTACTCTTGACCTCCCAGATGTTTTACTTTCGGTATGGAAATGGGGTTGTTTGCAGGCTGTAATTCAGAGTCACTTTAAAACGTCTTATAAAAAGGGCCAGAGAAATACATAAACAAGGCTGGTGGGGAAAGGCCCACCTCTTCAGAAGGGTTAGAGCCGGGATAGGGGTGTTAGAGACAGGACAGTGGGGGAGTTACAGCCGGGACACGGGGGCTTACAGCCAGGACTGGGGTGGTTAGAGCCAGGACGAGGGGGTTAGAGCCAGAACGGGGGGTTTAGAGCCAGAATGGGGGGTTTAGAGCCAGGACAGGGGCGGCTTACAGCCAGGACTGGGGTGGTTAGGGCCGGGATAGGGGATTTAGAGCCAGGACGGGGGTTTTAGAGCTGAAACGGGGTTTTTAGAGCTGGGATAGGGGTAGAGTTTGGATAGGGGTGTTAGAGCCGGGATAGAGGCAGAGGCCCTGGCGGGAATTTGAAGCAGGCATGGAGTGGCACACTCCAGGCCTTCTGCCTCTCAGGGGTACTCGGCTTGGTGGCAAACATCTGGGGCTGATTTCTAGGAAGTCATAATAGTAATTTTCTTTCCTCACCTTCTCTGCCCTCCTTGTGATTAGTATTTTTTTAACCTGACTTCCAAAAAGCATGTGTTAAAGCCAAACCTAGCTCTTAGTAGTTGAGCATCAGCTTCAGGCACTGCTGGATCCAGGGGCTTAAAATGATGTCACGGGAAAAATGATCTCTCTCCGCACTGGCAATCCTGACTGTCCTCTCTGGGGGTGTCTTCCTGTGGGCTAGCAGATCCGGGCTCACGTCCAGTCTCCAGGAAACCCTGTGGAAGGAAAGCTGCCTTTCCCTAAGGTGAACAGAAGTCCCCCTGTTTGGGGTTGGGTGCTGGGCTCATGCCTGGAGCTGTGGAATTGAGGGTCCAGCCCCACATGACGGGAGGAAAAGCATGTTCCCAGGAGAAAGCCTGGGTACCACTGCTTAGAGGGAGAAAGAGAGGCCGTGTGACAGGCACAGTGGATGTTCACAGAAGCCACGAACCAGGGACGAAGCTGGGGCTGCCAGTGTCAGAGTCTGTCACTGCCCGGGGGGTGATGGTCAGTGGATATGGGAGTCGGCTGTCCAGCACCAGTGGCCCGGTGAGGAGGAGAGCAGCTGCCCGGCTTCCCTCTGCTCTTTGTGGGAGAAATGGATGCTACAGACGAGTCCTGGTGTGACTGTGGTCAGCACACAGCTTCAAGGAAATTATTGCTGGTCTCTGATTCCTTCGTACAGGGCACCTCAGCATGCTCGGGTGTCCTCTGTCCCCGCAGTGAGGCCCCTTCCTCCTTCCCACCCTTCGAGGCCATTCTCCATCTCTTGCCTCCTTTCCCAGCCAAACCTCCGAACAGTGAAAAAAAGGGCCCCTTCCACTTTCTTTTCTGTACATGGCCCCATGTCTTCCTCCCTGCACCACCCTGCCTGGAACGATCTTAGCAATACTGGCCTCTGAGGGTTAGGAATAACTGTCCCGCCTCCATGCCCAGCCACACGCTGCAGGCGGCCTTGTCTCCTCCCATGTCTTATGCGCTCAGCTAAAAGGGGGCTTATCCCAGGAAGCCTTCCCCATCTGCCCCATCCATGGACCAGTAACAGGCCGTAGTCTGTTGGGAACCAGGCTGCACAGCAGGAGGTGGGTGGCCGATGAGTAAGCATGACCTGCCTGAGCAGGGCATTTGATTCTCATCGGAGCGCAAACCTATTGTGAACTGCACGTGCAAGGGATCTAGGCTGTGCACTCCTTGTGAGAATCTAATGGCTGGAGATCCAAAGTAGAAAGTTTTATCCCAAAACCATCCCCCACCTCCCCACTTACCCCAAACCCCTGGTCTGTGGAAAAACTCTTCCATGAAACCAGTCCTGGGGACCACTGTCTTAAAGGACTCTGGCCCCTTGGTTTTTTTTCTGTCTGCTCCTTCCCACCAGCCCACACTGGATCCTAAATCCAGATAGACACGTGCATTTGCAAGAGACAGTTTTCTAAATCTGCAGAGAGCTTGAAAGAACAATGAATGTCCGTGCACTCTCTGCCTGTATTCACTCATACTTAATGTAACCAAGTATGTATTTGTGTTATTAGCTCAGTAGAAGCTTTGGAAACCCGTGAGATTAGTCATTTTTGTAAGGGCATATGGAATATGAAACCCCGTAACAATGAGAGCCTGGAATTTGTCCTCTTTGAGAACAGGCCTTACCTTTGCATGTTTCGGCATTAGTCATAAAAATCTAGACTGATGCGACCGGGCGTGGTGGCTCATGCCTGTAGCCCCAGCACATTGGGGGGCCGAGGTGGGTGGATCATGAGGTCAAGAGATCAAACCCATTCTGGCCAAAATGGTGAAACCTCGTCTCTACTAAAAATACAAAAATGAGCTGGATATGAGGCATGCGCCTATAGTCCCAGCTATTTGGGAGGCTGAGGCAGGAGAATCACTTGAACCTAGCAGGCGGAGGTTGTAGTGAGCCAAGATCACACCACTGCACTCCAAACTGGTGACAGAGTGAGACTCTGCCTCAAAAAATAAAAAATCTAGACTGATGCTACAGCCTAAAGAAATGGGCATCGAGAGTTGCCAGAGTGGTAAATGCAGTGGCGTTGGTCTGTTGGATTCAGGTCTCCACTCCACAGCTGAACGGCCTTGTGGGTTTGGGTAAGGTGCCTAGCTTCCCTGTGCCCCCGTTGCCTTGCCCCTGAAGGGAAGACTTCGGGGGTTGTTGAGAAGATTAAGCGGGTCAGAGTATATGAAGGCGCCGGCCTAGAGAATGTGCTCCTTAAATGGCGGTTTGCAGATGGTGGCAGAAGAAGAGAAAAGGGAGGAAACTGGGGGCGCCCCACCCTCCTCACCGCCTTTTGCAGCCAGGACATTTCAGCTGTGGGAAGGGAAACAGCCAGCTCCAAGTGGCAGGACGTTCTCTTTCCTAAGCTGTCCCTGGGGTCCTGTAATCCTCAGCTCTCACAACCACCCTGGATACGAGACCCCACCGGAAGCCGCTCTGCTGGAAAGTTCGTAGAAGTGAGGAACCTGTTTCTCTTGGCAGTTCCTCTAACACGAGAAGTCCTGTGCGTGCGTCTCCTCCGTGTTGGCGGGGAGCAAGCACTGGGACCGTAATGTCCTGGAGATGGGGCCTGAGGCCGGTGGACCGCCAGTGTCCCTTTGCTGCTTGTAGCCTGGCCCAGCCTGAGGCTGATGAATTCAGCTGTAACCAAAACCCCTTTTGGGTTTCAACTCTCATTTTCCAAAATGAGTATTAAATGTGGCCATTTTATTTCTGGCTTCAATAAGCAGAGAATCGTGAATGCGACAGAATCGGGTTTCATTGATTATAGGCTGAGGAGGGTCCCAGGGGGAGAGATGGAGGTGAGTTTAGGGTGTCCGTGGGGCCCTGGCTGCCTGTGCAGGGAGAGTGGGCATAGGACTGAGGGTGCCCCGGGGTCCCATTTTTGGAAATGACACAGGCTGGCTATCACCTCTTGTCATCTGCCACCTTCTCCTAAAATGCCAGAATAGATTTTAGTTCCTTGGGATTTTTTTTTTCCTAGATGACAACCACAGCAAACTAGAGTGTCACTGCATAGCACTGTCCTCATGAGAATGACGTGGCCTTCACCCCTAAGTGGGAAGACACAAGAAACGTCCTAGCGAGCACCTCAGAAAATAATCAGTACGTGGCTCGTGTGGAAAACCAAGTTTCTGCTTATGCCAGTCAGCAGCACATTGATTCTCAGCCTCTCCTGAACACAAGTTGTCCTTGGTAGAGAAGGGGGTGAGGAAACATGAGAACCTGGAACCCACAGAGCTAGGGTGTGAGAGCGCCCCTCCCCTGCCACGCTCAACCCCCAGCCACCGCTCGCCCACAGCAGCCGAGTGTGACCACCACATCAGTGGGCGGCTAGGGTTTCCAAACTTTCATACTTAATGGAGCCATGGGTGTTGATTGAAGGAACGTCCACTTTAGTCATGTGGGGATATGAAATCCTGAAGAGGTGCTGGAGCCAGCTGCTCTCCTTAGAGAGCCCCAGGTAGGTAATAGGAAGGGCAACTGCCGAGTTTTGCTAAAGCAGCAAAACCTATTTTGTAGCCTAGGACACATTAAAATGGAATGAATTCATCACGCAGAAAAGCATCTACTGGGTAAGTTCAACGAAATGAAATCAGGCTGTGATCACCTCCATTCCCTGCCCCTCCACCCCTAACCCCAGCTATCTGAGTTGATTTTGAGACGGAGGCCAGGCTGGAAGGTGCCCATCAATCCCACAGCTCTCCCTGGGGGTTCTGTGGGTCTGCAGCTCTGTGCTCCCCGCGATCCAGGCTTTTGTTCTCAGTACACAGAGTGTTCCCCTTCTCTCACTTCAGGCCTCCCTCCTTCCCCCTGTGGAAGGGGACACCTCTGCCCCACTCAGGGGCCGCAGATTCCCTTTAAAGACAGACTGGATCCCTCTATCCCCAGCCCCTTGATTCTTTGGTCTTCATTTGCTTTCTAGCTCTCAAAGACTCTGGTAAGGGATCCATCAACAGTGACTGGAAGATAGAGCTCCCCGGAGAGTTCCAGATTGCAGGCACAACTGTCCGCTACGTCAGAAGGGGGCTGTGGGAGAAGATTTCTGCCAAGGGCCCAACCAGACTACCGCTGCACTTGATGGTAACTTGGGCTCCTGCACGCGTCTGAGGGTTGCTGGCTCTGAGGTCCACCAGGTCACTGTCCAGTTGACTTCTTCCTGGGACCCTGGGGGCAGGAGATGCATCCAGCTTCCAGGGGTCCCTGCTGCTCAGCCCCTCCCCTCTCGGAGTCTTTTCTTTCCCCTTGCACCTCCTGCTTCAGAATTCTCTCGTTGCTTCTCCTGGCTCTTCCCTGGCAGAGTTCCTATCTTTTTCAAAAGGAGCTGCCTCAAAGAAGGAAATGCTTAGCCACGTGGACGGCAGCCAGGGAGACTTGGCCTCACTGAGAGACAGCCCCACTCACAGTCTCTGTTTACATCAGGTGGTGGGATACATAGACCTGCCCTCACAGAGTGTATATCATTATCTTTTGGAAATGAACATGGACTCTGTGTCCAAACCAGCATCCCTCAGATTTCACAGACCCAGCTTGCACCAAGCGTTTGGGAATCAGGAAGTGGGATTAGATGATGCAAGTATTCTCCGCCGGCGATCTCCAGACACCTGTGTGCTGCTGGGCCAGGCCAGGGTGCCGTCACCTGATCTGTTGTCTTAGGGAGGCCTCCACGCGAGCCACTGAAACATCAGTGATATCGCCTTTTAAACATGTCAGAGAGATGTTTTTCTCCAGAGAATGGAACACGCTGCTTCCTTCTCGAGATCCAGGAGTTCTGATGGCTAACTTCTGATAGCTCATCATCATTGATTCTGTGTCTCCTTCCCAAAAAACAGGACAGTGGCAGCTTGTGCCCCTGCAATCAAAGCACACTTTGTCCCTCAGTGCCTGCCAGAGTCTCTCCGTGGAAGTTCTTCTTCCCCATTAATTTGTGATCTCTGGCAGCCTGTAAGTATTCCAGGTTAGTTGACACCCAAAAGATTTTCTGGCCATCGCCCAGGGAGTGTCCTAAGGAGGCTGGTTCTGCCAGGGAGCACTGACACCAAGGATGCAAGTGGTGTTAACCCCATTACAATTTCTGGGCAGAAAAAGTCAAGGCAGTTTCCATGTACAATCTAAAGTATGTGGAAATCTGCCACCGCACCGCTCACCCTGCTAAATCCACTGCAAATACGTTCCTGCAAGTAGGTTTCTGAGACCCAAGAATGTGTGCCTAAGTCATTTCTTGGAGATAAGATTGCATCCTTCATCGTACAGTCAGAACAAATCCTCCTATTCCAAGTTAATAGCAGTTACTTAGAGGGACTAAGGGAGGAGGCAAAACATAAAATCTACCGAAACTTCGCCTGTGAGCATGAGAATTTGCTTTCTCTAGCAAACAGCAGTGTGAGTGTATTTCCCTTTTCACCAAAAGCTTTTGTAAACTGAGCGAGTCGTTAGCCCATTCCAGTGAAGTACACAGCCTGGATTCATTCAGACCAGGATAAACAAAACTCCAAGAAAGCAACTGCTGCCGCGACTGAAGTTTCAGCCCTCGCTTAATATTGATGGCTTTTCTCTCTAAATATGACTGTCATTTCAAGATTTTAAAACTGAAAATGACAGGTGCCCCTTTGCGTCTATAAAGAAAGCCATTATCCCCAAACTGGGGTATACACATTGTTTGCAGAATCAGTAGCACCCAGAGAGTCATGGGGACCTACATTTGAAACCAGTTACACACACACACACACACACACACACACACTCTCAATACATGGCTACAAAATTGCATGAAATTGGTTTTATATGGATTCTCTGTTCACCAGTCGTATTCCCATGCTGAGATGATAAAGATCTCTTTCTAAGACTAGTTTGCTTCTTGGCGTTTCCCTTTCCTAACTGGAGGCATTTTTCCAAGTATGTTCTGGCAACTTGCTGTGGTGCAGGTGTGGGTGTTGATGCGGTTAGGTTTGCTCTTCACGCTGCACCCCAACCCTGCGGCGCAGCCTCAGGGGCTGAGAGATGCGTGGAGGGCAGTGGCTCCCATTGTCTGGGACACTTTGACCTCATCCGCGCCAAGTCAAGTCGGGTGAGCTGTGCGCACCCTCGGCTTAGTGACTGCTGACCCGTTCTCTCAGACTTCTCAGGCTAAAGTGAACCTGCCAGCTACTTAGACCCCGTGCACTTACTGCTTCCAAGCTCAGCTTGAAGACTCAGCCACAAACAAGCCACATTAAGCTCCTGTAAGAGGGCTTGATCAGCACCATTATGTCTAGAGAAAGAAGGCTGATCATGCACCTGCTGCTTTCCAGGGCTTGTCACATGCCGTTCCCGACCCATCTGTTCTGTGTCTTCATGCTGGCTAGGATTTCAGGTCTGAGGTCTCCAGGCTGTATGATAGTTTCCCACAAAATGTGATGGACCCATCCCTCTACCTCCACCCCACTCCCAGCTTGGAGCCCTGAGCCAGGCTCCTGCCAGCCTTGGCTACAGTCATCTTCCTGGATCCCACGGCAGCAAAGGACTCCTGCATCCTTGAAACCCCAAACAGATGCTCCCCAAAGTCCCCCGGCAGTGAGCTGCATTTTTTCCTTGAGCTTGCCTTACCCCTGACTCTGGACCAGGTGACATGGCAACGATTGCTTATAGGGAGTGAAGGATGATGCTCGTTTCCAGAGAAGTACAGTAGCCCCACTTGTTCTATCGCCTGTGTAGTCAAAAGTTCATCTGTGTCTTATCTGCAAAGGCAGCTTCGTGGGTGAGTATGCAGGAATGCGGACTGTTCTCTGCGTGGAGCAGCTCTCCATGAAAAGTGCAGTGAGAGGTTTCCGAGCTGCTCCTAGTCTAAGCTGCTCCCTCTCTTGGGTAGGAAGGGTGGGTTTGCATTCGCCCTACTTGCAAGTTGAGTCCCTGAGGAATCCAAAGCTGAGATAAAGGAGCACCCCTCAGTCGAACCTGTTTACAGCCTCAGAAGAGGGCTGGTTACCCCTCATAGAGAAACAGCCGCCGCGTGCCTGCGTGTGCGGATTCAGCAATCCCACGGGCTTTCGTTCCTTTTCAAAACGCCCTTTTGTTTTGCGGCTGATCCAGGTGCTGTTATTTCACGAGCAAGACTCTGGAATTCATTATGAATACACTGTTCCCGTAAACTACACTGCTGAAAATCAGAGTGAACCAGAAAAATCACAGGACTCTCTGTTCATCTGGACCCACAGCGGCTGGGAAGGGTGCAGCGTGCAGTGCGGAGGAGGTGAGTGGCCATGGCCGTGGCCTGCGCGGTGTGGGGCTTTGCTGGAGAAAGGACAAAGGAGCCTGTGGCCAGCACACAGAGTGGGGAATCTGTAACCTGCAGTTCCACAGGAATTTAAGCCCTGCTGAAAATCTCTCTGCAGAACATTTGGGCGAGTCTTCCCAGCTCCCACACTAGGGTCGTGCCCATGCTACTGCCCCCCAGCTCTGACCTGTGGGTGAAGCAGGGTTTGGCTGATGTATGACTACGTCTTAGGTATGACAGACCCTGGGAATAACCAGAATAGACCTTCGACTGTTGCCACTTGCTGGAGAGGCACCAGAGCGTGTGTCTGTCTGCTCCCAAATTCCCTTCCCTCTTTGCCACAGTAGCCTCATTCCAGGGTACAATGGAAAGAAAAAGTAAGTCATGTGAAACATGCCGAGCGTGAGTTCTGACCGCACAGCTTCCTGCTCGACCTCAGCAAATGACTTCCTCTCTCTACCCCAAATTCCCTCACCTCTGTAATAGGCTGGTTGTCCCTCATGCCCACCGTAGGGTCCACAGCGTGAGCCCAAGAGCCTGTCGTACAGCAAGAATCAATATAAACAAAAGGCATTGTGTTTCTTGTTGTGTCATTAGTCGGGGCAGCAGTAGGACACCGTTCTGAACTCTTAGCCAGCAGTTCCTTAGACAGTGCCGTTTGTCACCCTAACAGGACACATAGCAGGGCTATGGGAGATGGAACACAGGGTGGGTGGATTTTAGTGGGCACAGAGCTGGGATGGAAGGTTTACCTGGACTCTGGTATGCCAACTCTGAGAGTTGGATGATGGAGTGGAGCCCCGGACATAGCCCCAGCCATCACCAGTCCTGAGCACCTGTTGGCTGCTTGGATAACTTTTGTTGGATGTCAATACGTAAAGCATGGCTTACCATTTAAAGGACTCCTTCCGTCTTTCATGGGTAGGAGATACAGATACACAGGAATTTCTTCCTGGGCATCTTGGCCAACTGCCCTCACTGTCTGTGCTTGGCCCCTTCCTGCAGCAGCCCCGCAGCAGCTGGCATAGCCTCTGGATGCCACCGTCAGCCCTGCCTCTTCCACTCTGCACCTCTCCCTGGGGGGCCTTCCACCCCTGAGCCCTTAGCTGCTGATGGCCTTTCAACGTCCACATCCAGCCAGCAGCTCTACCTCTGATTCCAACCAGGTTTTCCTCTTGGACAACTTGTGAGCTAACCATACCCACATAGAACAGTTCGCAGGCCATCCTGGGGTCAGGGTCAGGCTGCTCTGTTGCTGTTGGCTGGGCGCCAGTCCTTTCATGACACCGGTGACTTCCAGCTTCCTAACAGTGGTCAGATCTGCCACCAAAGCTGGAAGCAATCCTGTGCTTTCTGTACTCACCCGAGGCTGCCATTCGGGGCAGCAGGAGCTGACGGTGGAGTTGAGGACTCCATGATTTTGAGTCATCCCTACATGACAAATTGCCCGGGAGACAGACCCAGCAGGGAGCCCAGGATCCAAACAGCTGTGCTCGAGTCCATCTTTCATTGTCACTCTTCCCAAATCATAATAATAATGACAGTAATAGAGCTAACATGAAGTGTTAGCCACATGCCAGGCTCTGTTCTATGGACACCCTATATATTTGTTTCTTTTAATCATCCCTGAGGCACCCTCAGGCACAGGGAAGTTAAGCAAAGCAGGCTGCTCGAGGACACTGAGACACAGAAGCATGGTGACCACAGCGTCGCTAGCTGGCCAGCTAGCGACGCTGTGGTCACCTGATGCTCTTTGTGATAGAGCCAAAACTTGAACCCAGACACCCTGGCCGCAGTGACCACCCTCCTCCCTCCCAGTCACTCAGCCTGCCTGACAAAGGCATAGCCATGCAGTATTTGGGTGCTCTGGGAACACCCAGAAGAAGGGCTACATCCAGTTGGGTCATTGGAATAGCAAAGCTTCCTAAGAGCAGGTGGGGCTCAGCCATAAGTACCAGCTGGCTAGACCAGTTCAGAATGGCTCTGGCGTGCCTGTCCAGAGAATGCAGGTCTGCATGTCTTCCATACAAAACTCCTTGTACTCCACTTGTCCCCAGCAAGCAGGAGTTCGGTAATGGGTAGCCGGACTCTCTGCTGAGGGCTGATGTGCAGGTATTTAATGAGACCAGATCTCCAGAGACTTTAAATATTAAACAAGCAGATACAAAGATGAGCAGTCTTTGGAAATGAAAGACCCAAATCAACGAACCCCAAGCTGTTCAAGGACACAGCTGATCTGAGGTGTTGCTGCATTCTGATCTTCTAGAATCTTCCAGGGCCCCACTCTGCCTTCTGTGTCTTGCACCCTCCTCCTTAAAATTGCAGTTCTTCCTTTCTAAAAACCCACACGACATTTACAGCATTCACTTTAAGTGACAGAGTGACCAACAGCAGCACCCAAACCTTCCTTCACGAGTGTGCAAGCCCAGCCTTTCCAGGCAGGTACGGCCACAGCCTCTCAGCTCCCTTTGGTTTGGTTTCCAGGGGAACGCAAAACCATCGTCTCTTGCACCCGGATTGTCAACAAGACTACAACTCTGGTGAATGACAGTGACTGCCCTCAAGCAAGCCGCCCAGAGCCCCAGGTCCGAAGGTGCAACTTGCACCCCTGCCAGTCACGGTAAGGAGCTGGGTTCTGTAGCTGGGACCCACCAGAGTCTGGGGCAGCAGCACCATCAGTGGCAGGGGGTGGCACGCCATGAATGTCACAGTGCTGCTCTGTGCTGTGTTCTGTTATTGTTGATGAGTGATTTGTGTTTGCTTGAATTACCAAATTTCCAGTTACTGAACCAGGACGCTGATGGAAATACAACCATAGCTGGAAGGCATTCTGTAGGAGACCATTAGTAACATCTCACGGCAAAAATAGAGCTTTCGCCACATACTTTTAACCAGTGCCCATTGGTTCCCCCAAATTCCTTTGTGTTGGTGGAGAAGGAAACAAATGTTGGAGTCTGAGAGCCCAGGAGAAAGGGCGCACACGGGCTGATGTTGCTGCTGATCTATTTCAGTGGCTGCAATTCATGCCCATGAGTGTGGATCTATGTGTTTAGTCTTTGCATCCATCAGAACTTCCATCCGAACTTCCATCCCAGCCCCAGCTGTCACGGCCACGTTACCCGCGTGAACTTCCTTGGGTTGTCAGCCGAGTTGAATTGTGTGAAATGGGTTCGTCAGCTGAGCTCCTCTTCTCGAGTCATTTGAGTGGGACTCGGATGAATTTGTTGCTTTAAGTCGTGCCACCCCTCGGCCTTGTGTTCTGCTCTGAATTGAGGTGAATGGGTTTTGCTCTGTGGTTCTGTGTATCATTTAAGGCATGCTGACCTTTTCTAACTAGGCTGGATGCTTAATATTTCAGTGTTTTAGGTTTCTTGATTCAGTTCGTGCCGCTTGCCTAGTACAAGAGCTTCACATCTTTTGCACCAACCCCTTCGTTTTGTCAAACTCTTAAAATGTGTTCGAGTAAGAAAGAGAGGAGGCAGGAAGGAAAAAAAGAAGCTGAGGCTTGTTTCAGTGATCTTCTGTGCTTCTTGCCAAATTAAGAATGAAATTCCACCCTAATGCTGCAGGCCTGGAGGAAGAGCTCACTGCAGGAAATCTGCTTGAGCACCCTCGGTATGAGCAGCCGTACCACAAACCCATCCATCAGTCCGTCAACCAGCCGCATGCATGGGCCACAGAAAGAAGGGCTTGCCGCTGTAAAGATTCAGCGTCTAATGGGCTGGCAACTAAAGATGGCCTGGCCCTGGCCAAGTGACTAGAAAGCAGGATAAGAGATGACGGAGGAGAGGTCAGCACGAGTTCAAGAGCATGATTGAGCAAAAAGGTCTTAGGGCTCCATTCCAGAAGCATATTTTAAAACAAGTTCTGTTTTCAAACTATTTTATACCCAAGTTTATATATATATATATATAATTGTACTTTAGGTTCTGGGGTGCATGTAAAGAACATGCAGGATTGTTGCATAGGTACATACATGGAAATGTGGTTTGCTGCCTCCATCCCCATCACCTATATCTGGCATTTCTCCCCATGTTATCCCTCCCCAACTCCCTATCCCCCCGCTGTCCCTCCCCTAGCCACCCCCCCAGAGACTTCAGTGTGTGATGCTCCCCTCCCTGTGTCCATGTATTCTCATTGTTCAACACCCGCCTATGAGTGAGAACATGCGGTATTTGATTTTCTGTTCTTGCGTCAGTTTGCTGAGAATGATGGTTTCCAGGTTCATCTGTGTCTCTACAAAGGACATGAACTCATCATTTTTTTATAGCTGCATGGTATTCCATGGTGTATATGTGCCACATTTTCCATGTTCAGTCTATCATCGATGGGCATTTGGCTTGGTTCCAAATCTTTGCTATTGGAAACAGTGCTGCAGTGTACATACGTGTGCATGTGTCTTTATAAAAGAATGACGTATGATCCTTTGGATATATACCTAGTAATGGGATTGCTGCGTCAAATAAAATTTCTATTTCTAGGTCCTTGAGGAATCACCACACTGTCTTCCACAATGGTTGAACTAATTTACACTCCCACCAACAGTGTAAAAGTGTTCCTATTTCTCCACATCCTCTCCAGCATCTGTTGTCTCCAGATTTTTTAATGATTGCCATTTTAACTGGCGTGAGATGGTATCTCAGTGTGGTTTGATTTGCATTTCTCTAATGACCAGTGATGATGAGCATTTTTTCATATGTTTGTTGGCCTCATGTATGTCTTCTTTTGAAAAGTGTCCATGTCCTTCGCCTACTTTTGAATGGGCTTGTTTGTTTTTTTCTTGCAAATCTGTTTTAGTTCTTCCTAGATTCTGGATATAAGTCCTTTGTCAGATGGGTAGATTGCAAAAATTTTTCCCAGTCTGTTGGTTGCTGGTTTGCTCTAATGATTGTTTCTTTTGCCGTGCAGAAGCTGTGGAGTTTGATTAGGTCCCATTTGTCTATTTTGGCTTTTGTTGCCAGTGCTTTTGGTGTTTTAGTCATGAAGTCCTTGCCTATGCCTATGTCCTGAATGGTTTTGCCTAGGTTTTCTTCTAGGGTTTTTATGGTGTTAGGTCTTATGTTTATACCCAAGTCTTTTTAAAATTATGCACAGAAACCAAATAAAATGAAACAGATGAAATGAGAGCTGCTGTGATTGAGTTGAGACACACATGTGATGTGGCAGAGTCGGCCAGTCCACACTGCCTGTTCCACCTCTCACAGTAGGCCGTGGCTCCCCTGTGGAACTCCAAGGATAAGGTTTAAAAATTAAGGATCCTGCTTCCTGTAGTGATAGAGTAGCTTATATTGGACCAACCCTCCTGCAGATTACAGTTATGAACTCTGGAGACTAGAGTTTAAAAGCTAGAAAGCAGGCCAGGCGAAGGGGCTCATGCCTGTAATCCCAGCACTTTGGGAGACCAAGGCAGGTGGATCACTTGAGGTCAGGAGTTTGAGACCAGCATGGCCAACACCTTGAAGCCCCATCTCTACTAAAAATACAAAAATTCACCAAGCATGGTGGTGTGCACCTGTAGTCCCAGCTACTTGGGAGGCTGAGGCAGGAGAATTGCTTGAACCTGGGATACAGAGGTTATAGTGAGCCAAGATTGTGCCACTGCACTCCAGCCTAGGTGACAGAGCCAGACTCCATCTCGAAAAAAAAAAAAAAAGTCCAAATGACATATGGAGTTCTCATCTTATTTCTATTGAACAGCACTTCTGTTCATTAATTTATCCTTCAGTGTTCCGGGTGCAATCCAACATTACTAGTCATACAGGGAAACAGATCCATACTCAGAGGAGAAGGCCGCTAATGGAGAGTGACTGCAAGAGGACACATTTGTTGAAATTAGAAGAAAAGAATGTTAAAGCAGCTATTGTAACTATGCTGAGAAACAAAAGGAAAGCTGTGCTCATAGTCACAGAACACATAGGAAATCTCACAAGAAAAAGATACTGTATAAAGCCATTTTAGGACTAAAACATACAATATCTGAAATTTTAAAAATTCACTGCATGGATCTAACAATGGAATAAGATGACGAAAGATTAGTGAACTTACAGATAGAGGATTAGACATTATTCAGTCTAGAAAATGGGAAGAAGACATTATTGACAGTGAGCAAGACTCAGTTACCTGTGGTGCAGTATCAAGCATTCTAACATACGGGTAATTGGAGTCACAGAAGGAGAAGAGAGAGAAAATGGAGCAGAAAGTAATTACTGAAGAAACAGTGACCAGAAATTTCCCAGGTTTAGTGAAAGACAGCTGAGAGGTAATCGGGTCACATCTTCACATTTCAACTAGATTGAAAAGTGCCATAACAAAGCCCTCTGGTCGTTAAAACAAGTGGGACAGTCATGATTCTACCTCCCATGTATCTTCTACGAGGGAACCTTGCTGCACTGCAAAACGCAAACCAGAAAATCATGTAGGAAAGCACCTGCAAAACAGTGACGTAAACAAACATGAATGCAAACTCTACACAAGTGCCATGGAGCTGTGCTAAGCCTACGGTAGATAACATCATGTGTGTGTATCGCTACAGAAAGTTCTTTGACGGACCATAGCCCTGCAGTCTTGCCACGTTTAAGCCAAGTTCAAGCAAATACGCTTCAGACTAAAAGCAATTTCAGAAGCACGTTCTTAGTATCTCGGTAGAACAGGGATCAGCAAGCTTCGACTGTATAGGTCTAGAGAACAAATATTTTTGCCTTCAAAGGCCACATGTGGTGTCTGGCACATTTTTTTCTTTGAGTCTTAATCCTTTACAACATGTAAAATTTGTCCCTTGCTCTTGGGTTGTACAAAAATAACCCACAGGCCAGACTGAGCCCAACAGGAGTTTGCAGCCTCTGTTTTGGATTATCGCTTACTCTCGTTTTGCCCACTGAGATACCAGGACCACACCCTGAGCATGAGCCTGAGCTCTGCCCGTATTAGCTCAGGGAATGTACTTTCTTATTATACAAAGGAGGGCACATTAGGATACTGAATTTCGTTTTATTGTGTAACTTGATAAATATTTGGTTTCTGCCTCCCCACCACTTCTCTCTCCCACCTCCTTCCACTCCCTTCCTGACTGTAAAATCATGTGAATCAGACTTAAAGAATGAGTGGAATTACTTAGAGCAGAGAAGAAAATGAAGTTGAAAAACAAGAGAAAATAGCACCTAAAATCTGCCTTAGACAGGAAGTGCCTGGATGCCTGCCCTAGGCTGGTTTTGTTTGCTAATTTGTTTATTTGTTTATTCTGAACCATCTGAGCTTGTACTTTTTCTTAAAGTGGATGTATGAGTGCCCTGACTCATCACAGAGGATTGATTGTTTGGCTAAACAATTGTATGATCTGATAATAGATTTTAAAACTCTTGCACATCCTAACAAGGTAGATCTATGCACACGTACGCATGCATAAATACATACACACACGTAAATGTATCTACCTACACAATATACATATGTATGTGTTAAGTACAGTAGTCCCTGCTTATTTGCAGTTTCACTTTCTGTGGTTTCAGTTACCCATGGTCAACCATTGCCCAAAAATATTAAAAGGGAAATTTCAGAGATAATTCATCTTTTTCAAGTTGCTCACTGTTCTGAGTGGTGTAATGAAATCTCACACTGTCCCGC